CTGCTTGAAAACCATACCCTTTCGCCCATATATGGCGGTACCCCCTCCTCCTCCCGGGGGATCTGCCCTATTTGCGATACGAGTATATTGTCATGTGTCAACATTTCAATACAAAAATGATGATGGGCTCCTGTTTAAACTTTTAAATTAGTGCAAGACAATTTTCATAGTATAGACCCTCAACTAGAGGTCCAAGCCTTGATAAAAACTTGAGTTGGCTTTGTCCAACGTCCATCCTATATTTTTTAAAAAGGATTAAATTAGCTGCAAAAACCGTGGACGAAGACTGTTAGTTGTAAACGTTGGATCTCTAGAAAAGGGACCTAATCAGCCAAAATATAACTGAAGAACCAAGAACGAGAAGTCCAAAGACTACCGCAAAGCTGATTTAAAACAACGTGTATTGTTTTTTATAACAATATTTCGGCTGGCCATACCAGCCTTCTTCAGGTTCAAAGATGTTACTGAACTTATGTAGCAATCGCAATATTATTTAGATGGAGAATGTCGCAATAAAAATTCTTTAAAAGGGAGAGGCGGAAATGACGTACAACATAAAAACTGGAAAGGAAAAATTCTAAAGAGATGGATTATACTATTTTCTTTGTGAGACCACAGGCAGACCATCCTCTGTTAGTGGGAGCCGTTGTTGATTGAAACTTTTGTTATTTATTTATGTCCCAAAAGGCAGAATTTAAAGCAAATTTTTCAATAGAGGTTTGAAGAAAAATTTAACTGAGTCATGAGTCATGTTTTTTTTCGCCGTCCCGTGCTGTTTTAAGCGCTATTTTGCGAGATGAATATTTGACCTCGGCGGTTAGTTCTTACGAGAAAGGCTCGGGAGCTCTGTTTCCTCCCCCATCACCGCCCCCAAGAGCTTGCTCGCAAGCAAGTGGCGTGAGTGGCGTGCATAAAGTCACGTTTTTGTGCGTAGAAAACTGGCCAATCACAATGTGCGTTATTACAGTGACGCCTTGGCTGGTTTACATCGCCTTCTCTGATTGGTGAAACTCATGTTTCGGACGCCTTTTCTGAACAACACGAAATTTTATATAAGGTCGCCGGTGAAGAGGTTGTCGTTTGAAGACGGGAAAATCCCAGTTGCTTTGCTAAACTTGGCAGAAATTCTGATATTTCTCTCGTTTCGCCGGTAAGTAAGCTCCCCGCGATTTTATTCATTGTGGGTTTGTTAAAATTTTTGTTAAAAGTCAAGCGGATTCATAAGCAAACTTATCCACGATCGAAAGCCATTCAATCACGGGAAGTTTTGCTCGTAGTACTATGATTCTGTCGTTGTGAAAATTGGGAGAAACTAGAGGGCCTCATTTGATGTTGCAGTTGATAATAAGTAGCGAGCAGTCGTAGAGATAGTTGAAGGCTATTAGATGGTTCAAGGCAACTTGCCAACANATTTGATTCATTGTGGGTTTGTTAAAATTTTTGTTAAAAGTCAAGCGGATTCATAAGCAAACTTATCCACGATCGAAAGCCATTCAATCACGGGAAGTTTTGCTCGTAGAACTATGATTCTGTCGTTGTGAAAATTGGGAGAAACTAGAGGGCCTCATTTGATGTTGCAGTTGATAATAAGTAGCGAGCAGTCGTAGAGATAGTTGAAGGCTATTAGATGGTTCAAGGCAACTTGCCAACATGGCGAATTTTGATATTACTAGTCATTCTTGTAATAAATTATTTCGAAATCAAGCATGCAATGGAGTAAAACAACTGTGACAACAACAGAGGGAATATATTAAATACCTTTGCCTCTGGTAGATACAAATAGGTAGTTATTGAAAGAAATTTGACACCCGAGAACTAGAAATAAGCTAAAATACTTGAGAAGTGGAAAAAGAAAACAAAGGGAAGTGCCGCTTAATTAAAGGTTAACCTTTCAACCGAGTTACTTCGCATATGTTTTTTTAGGATAATATACAACTATCCCCCGAAGGAGAGGTTGAAAAGTGGTGTATATTCCGAGACGCGAAGCCTTGAGGCATATATCTCGCGCTGTTCACCGATCCTGAGGGGGATAGTTGTTTTAGTATTTACCAAATCAGTTGGATAAAATGGAAAAAGTAATTTTTTGTAAATTAAAAACGTCACTTAGTAGGAACTTTGTTTACAATTTACAAACATTTCGGGAATTTTGCTAAGTGCACTTCTTACGATTTTGTGGCAGATTCAGCGTGAAAATAATTTGCTACCTACCAGTAAACACCGACAAGCCAGAGTTCGTCACTTTGTTGGTATTTGTTTGTATGACTGTTTCATTTATCGCTCAAATTTCATCTACAAAAAATGTCTTAAAGAGAGATGCCATCTTGGCTCTAGTCGCAAAACGGTGAATAGCCGTGGATATTCCGCGTTATGGGAGCCAATCAAAACACGCAAAAATTGCTATTCACTGATTTTGTAAATACTAAACTGAACTATACCAAGGGAACACAAATTGACTACCCACTCAGGTTAAGTCAGGTTAGGTCTTCAAGAGTTGAAAACAAAAACCTAGATTTGTACTTTCTACCTGGTCAGCTGTTGTGTATTGCAAGTGGAAGCATTTGAGTTTTAACAATACTTTTGCTGTGAAAATCTGAGATTGTGTAAGAACTCAAGACCCAAGAAAGAGAGAAACATTTGAAAGACTGTCAATTCTCAAGGTTACCCTAAATTGCCACTTATAAGCCCTCCTTGTTACAGGCCCATCTACCTGTAAACAGCAACAAAAAAATACTCTGATTATACAGCTCTCCTGGATGTAACACCCTCTACAGGGTTCACATGCAGCTTGAACATCCTTGAATTTTAAAATAAAAATTCAAGGCCTTCAAAGTGCTTGAAAATTGTATTAGGTGCTTGAAGGTCCTTGAATCTCAGGTGCTAACTTTTTCCAGTCCAGCAAACACTGAAAGACCTTTAGGATAAAATTGCTCATGTTGTGAAGAACTAAAAAGGACCTAGACTCAAGGCCTTTTTTGTACTGAATGGAGTCCTTTAAAGTCCTGGAGTTTTTTGTTCAAAGCAGGGTATGAACCCTACCTCTGGCTTGTATTTAAAGGGATTTGATTAATTGTGACTTTTGGAAGCTTGATTAAAACCGGTAAATGCTAAACATATTTTGATCAGCACTTTTATGGCTTGTTTCAAAGCACTTTCTTTTATAAGCTCCTCATTTTATAAGCCCTCCTAAGACCTCTAAGTAAGATGTAGAAGCCCATGGCTTATAAGTGGCAGTTTATGGTATTAGAATTTGTCACACCCTTGGTACAACTAAGCAGTAGTGAAGTAAATGCATGCAGATATCAGTAAGCTGTTGTCAGGTAAGATAGGGTTGAACTAACATTAGCAGCCTGACCTGGATTGGTGTCCAAGCCCAGGAACATACTGATTAGGGGTGTTCTTCTAGGCCTTATAACATTTCCGACCAAAACGCTTTGCTAACACATCTCAGATGCAAGCAGGCTTGAAAAAGATCGGGAATTCCAGCTTGTCATTAGGGCAAGCATCTCTTACATTTTGCTTGCCTGACTCACTGAGTCAATTGCTTGCTTGTCTTAGTTAATAATTTAGTTAAAAGATGACGTGCCTGGATCTTTCCCCATTGGTTAAGCAAGTTTTAATAGTCTCTTGCCCAGCCTGAAAATCTACCAGTCCTAGACTTTTTGTGAGGCCTGGTAAGAAATATATTATATTCTGTAAACACCTGTGAAATCTTAGGTAAGCTTCATGTGATTTGTTCACACATAAAAATAACATGTTATCTTTGTACAGGAAAAAAATAACCATTGCTATTTCTACATAATAAGTCTTGTCTCCCTGCAAAAGTATGTTTAAGTGAAATGGTTTGGTATTTCATCAGGTGTTTATATAATAAATCAAACTTGGAGATACAACATTATTACATACATACTGAGAAATACTCACCAAAAAGCTATGTCGTAAGTTTTCATACGCAAATTAGTTCTAGCCAATCAGAATTGCGAATGATGTTTTTTCACGTGTGACAAAAATGATACGTCCAATCAGAAGCCACAGAGGTGTGTGAGTTTCGCGCCAAAATTCCCGCCTTTTATTGCAGCTTGCAGTGCCGCTTCGCACACATTCAACGAGAAAAGTTTTACTCAAAGAGTTTTCCTCGCTAAAAAAGTGAAAAACATTCCGGAAATGGAGTGGAATAGTTTCCTTTGTTTCACTGTCGATAAAGAAAACGGTAGAGAGCCGGCGAAACAACAGCGGAAAGGGAAAAACAGAACGAGACGTAAGCTTTTAATGTGCTTGTTATTGGAGCTACTTTGCCTTTCATTTAAGCTTACGCTTATATTGAAACCGGCCATTTTACTTAAATTCACTCATTTTCAATTGTGCATTGAGAACAAACAGTTAAGATTTCTTATAGTTCTTGGATTACCTCATATCCTTACCGTCATTTATGTTTTTAACAAACGTTTTTACTAAAAAGCTGATACTTTGTTTTCATTGTCATTTTGCGGTAAGCGACTGTGTAGCGGCAAATTTTAGCTTTTTTGAAAGATTTAAAATAAAAAGGCCGCCAAAATGATGAATGTCTCAGTATATATATAATAAACACAATACCACATGGAAAGTGCTGGCGTATGGTATTTATTACGATACGATACGTCAACAACTCGTGCGTAAATACCGTACGCCAGCACTTTCCATGAAGTATTCTCTATTTCCTGTTTTTGTGAAGATATTTCACTTACTTGCTGCTTTAACTAATTGTGAAATAACACTTCAAGCGAAAGTTCATATCTCTGTGCAGCCGTGTATATGCTCTTTTGCAGGTGGAAAGATTGATTGATCTGTGACAAAATAGTGCAAAAATTGGAATCTGCTAAAGAGAATGCGCAGTATTCTTTGAAACCCCATATTTCACATCGCTCACCAACTTACATGAAGTCCTACCTCCCCGAAAGCTATTTTGAGCTGCACTAATATTCTCCAATGATTTTCCTTTGTTCTGTTTTTTGTAGACAAAGATCATGGATTGCAACAACCTTACTGACCTCTTGGAAGAAGTACATTCTCAAGTAGACATGCTGCAAAAGGCAGTTGCCCAAGTTAGTCAAGTTAAGGCAAGTTTAAAAACAACAGCCTCTGAAGTGAAGTCTCAGATTCGCGACAGTGTCAGCCGTCATCTAGAAGCCTTACGGAACAGAGAAACCTGGTTGCTGGGGCAAGTGGAAGTGGTACAGCATATCAAAGAGGATGTGTTGCGACAACAGCAAGCTGAACTCAACAAGGCTCTTGGCAGACTGCAGTCCACTTGTTCCTTGCTTGAGCAAAGTAGTAAAGCTCTTGACACAGACAGCTTGGAGTGTCGTGTCAGAGAAAGCTTAGAATCTGTTGGCCAGCTGAGCCTGATACCTGAGGAATCCAGTGCCATCAACTTTGTGGCTCGGAATTTTGAGCTCCAAGACTCCATTCACAAATATGGTGTGGTCATCTCTGATCATCCTTTTGCTGATAAGCAGATGGTGTCTTCTTGTGAAAGGCTTCAGTTAAGCTCTGGGAAGAAACTAGCATTCTTTACCCCATCTGGTTCTTGTGAGGACTGGCTTATGAAGACAAACGCTGGTAGTGCTTGTCAGGACATCCCAAAGTCCCATGCTGTGATGACCAACATCCAGGACTGGCTGCAGCCTAAAGAAGCTTTGGTTGTCTCTACCACAGAGAGCTCTGTCATTTCTATGCCTCAGCAGAATGTAGAGAACTGGTTAGCCAAATGTCAGTCCCAGGATGCTGTAAAAGATATAGAGGACATCGCAGAAAATCCAGGAAAAGCTTTTGCTGTTGCAGAGAACAAAGCCACTGAAATCCACAACTGGCTTCTGAAGACTCAAGAGACCAACTTAGCTGCTTCCCTGCCCCCTGCTAACTTGTTTGACTACTACAGAGTTGTTAGATTGTCAGAGTCAAGCAAGTGGTTAAAGAGCAATGCCGGAAGTGCTAAAGGCAAACTTTCTACCAGTCTCATTGGTGACACCTACAGCAAGATTGCTGCTTCAAGTCCTGATAAATGGCTCATGCAGAGGAAATTACCAATTGCTTCCAGCTCTGCACTGGTCAGAAGCATGAGCTCTCAGTCATGTTCAGAGTGTTCCTGTGGTTTGTCTTCAGTGTGCTGTGATGCCGATGCTCAAGAAAAATCTGGCAATTTTGATGATACGTCAAGTGAGTTTTCTGATTGGTTGGCAGTGAAGAGAGTTGGCACTAGCAGAAGTTCATCCCCTGAGAGAGTATCAACTGAAGTTGCTGGCAATGATACATGGCTGATGAAACAACATGGTGAGATCAGCCAACATGGAACCATGGATGTTACTGGCATTAAGAATTACAGAGAGAATCTCGCCGCACAACCCAACGAGCACTGGTTGAAGCATGAAGGCAGTTCCTTGCTTCCTGACAACAATAAAGATAGTGAGGGAATAACAAGTGGCATGAAGACTTACATTGACTCTCTTCCTGTTGATTACAACCAGTGGTTGTTAACTCCACGCGAGGATGATGGCCTTTGCAAGTGGCTCGCTCGCAGATCATCTGAGAAGTGTAAAGAGTGCCCAAGAATGTGTTCCAATGGCCTCTTTAAGATCTTTGGAGAAGTATCCAGTTCTAAAGATGGCTGGCTTATGTCTCAAGAACTGTACTAAAATCTGTCAATAGAAGACTGGTAAAGTAACTGGCAAAAAAATATTTTTTATAAAAATGTTCAAGATTTCAATGTGGGCAGTTGTCCTTTTTTCTTGTTTATAAGTTAGTGAAATTAATCTACAATGTAGGTTTAGTTTGAAAAATTACAGTTGATAAGAAGCAGGGACTTCTATTAATTGTTTTTGTAAAAAAGATAACTATGCAGTAGTAGAATTGACAATAATTTGTTATTATTGTTGATTTCATCTATAAGAAATTTTCTTTTAACTTTGATTAATATAAGATGCTATCTTAGTGTAAAACACATCTAGATAGGTATTGGCCGGGGTTGATGGTGATTTTCAGTAGGGCTGCAATAATACCTTTTGCTATCATAATGATGCAATTTATACCTCAGCACATTGGATAACACTCCCTAAGATATACTGCTATTACCTATGTATTTTTAGATTTGTATTACAGCCTCAATAAGCTTGTAGGAGCCATCGTATGGTAGCCATCTTGATTGTATCTTCGACTTTAAAAACAAGTAAGTAATGCACTCTGTACAATCCAGTGCCCGATTCCTGAAACTTTGCTTAGCACTAATCCAGGATTAAAATTTTGTTCCGTTTTTTGGAATTTACCTTCTTACGGATTGCTTAGAGTAACATTTTGTTTTATCATTACAGTGTGTCAGAGTAAAGGCCCAACAGTATTATTTTTGTAAGCTCGAGTTGCATGTTGTTAGACAAGGAAACCTTGCTTAAAATTTGGCTTAATCCTGGGTTAAACTTAACCATCTTTCCAGGAACCGGGCGCAGGGAATGAAAATCAAGACTACTCTTGTTGAATTATCATCACTTTTATTGTTTTGTAGTACTTACTGACATATCTATTTCGGTGTGTAATGATGAAAACTATTGTAGTGCATCAGAATATCATTGCAACCCCATTGTTCATCTTCATAATAACTATTTTGTGATCTTAACTTTGTGAAATCTGGACACTAAAGAGAGCAAAGCTTGCAGTTTTTATCAGAATATCAAAAATATATTATAGCTATATGGAAACAAATATATAATTATTGTGTGTGTAAAATAAGGCAAAGTGATGAGGGGCAGGGCCTCCTATCAGAAGACTTAACTTGTAAATATTATGTTTCAGATGTAGCTATAAATATTTCAGTTTTATTGTATTTTCGTACGTGTAGGCATCAGTGATTCTAGAATAGTAGCTACCATATAATTTTGCTTGGACAATACCGTAAAACAATAACTGTGTATTCGCTTATAACCTTTTGCAATATATTTAAAATAGTTTTATTGTATTTTCGTACGTGTAGGCATCAGTGATTCTAGAATAGTAGCTACCATATAATTTTGCTTGGACAATACCGTAAAACAATAACTGTGTATTCGCTTATAACCTTTTGCAATATATTTAAAACAATGGGTAGACACTTCTAGCAGGTACCTATTTCTGGGAGGGGATAGTGTGGGATGTTTTTGGAGGGGGTTGGGGTGGTGCAATTATTTGCTTTAAGTAGTCCATTAGTTCTAAAATTTACAAACTTCGTGAGTCATGTTTCTTTTTTGGCTTAGCAATAAAGTTGTGTGTAAAGTGTTCTCACTGCCTTTGTTTTTTTTTTTTCTTGGATACCAGCCTGAGAATTATTTTGTTTCCACATTTATAAACAAATAGAAGCCACGAGTCCCTCTTGTTATTGCCTGCATACAGCCTGAGTGATTGTCCTTACTTCTCCTCGTTGCCAGGGCAAGGTCGAACACTAACCACTTCCAAAATTCACTGAATATCATAATATAATAAAAAATATATCAAGGTCAACCGGAGTTGACTCATCAAGGGGAAATTTCTGATAGCGGGGTAGGGCGTGAGGAACAGACAGCACAAATTAAGCAGTGTCGGAATCTTGTATTCGGGATCCTTTATTGTTGATTTGTATACATAATGTGACATCAAGGAAGTAATCTTGGAAAACAGCATTTCTCCAATGTGGCTTTAATCATGTAACATGAGAATTTACCTTAGAGCGGTTTTCACTTGACTGTCGAATTGGGATTGGGATTGGTTTTGGTTTTGGTTTTACTACGTCCTTTGGTTGGCTAGTGTATTTACTTTGGTTTTGGTTTTACGACAGTCAAGTGAAAACCGCTCTAAATGGTGCATAGAAATTGCATTCTTTAGACGTGGAAGGTACAGGTACATGGTACGACATTGAAATCGACGGCAGCTTAAGTCAGCAAAATAATAAAACACCATTTTCCAGCGCTTGGCACCGGGTGTATTTTGAGTTTGAATCTGATTGGTTCATTGCAGAATTTAGGAGAAATGATTGGCTAGATGAGATTGACACATGGGAAAAGTTTTTACCAGACAATATAAAAGGCCTGTGTTATTTTTAGTACAAGATTTTAATATATTTAAGGGATCTCTAACTCATGAATCGACCCACCAGAAATAATATTTCATATAACTAATTAAAAGGAACTCGATATTTTGATTGGAAAATGTTTTAAAAAATAAACTTTCCCGTGAATGAAATTTACAGTGAAACCTGTATTAAGCGGACACCGTATAGCCAAAGTCCCCAAATTTATTTCCCTTATTTACTTTAAATGAAACCTTTATTAACCAGACGCGGACACCTGAAAAGTAACTGAAATGGCCATTTCTATTGTTGCCAACCTGTATTAAACGGACACTTGTGATTAAATTCCACCACCCATGCCAGACACCGGAAATGCGAAAGACTGCCTCGAATTGCCACCCACAAATTTTTCGATTTTTACATTAAAAAACGTGACTTGACGAACTTATTTGATTAGGTTCCCAGTACAGTATTGTTTTCTATTTCGTTTTGTTTGTATAGAGCTTTTTTCACTCATCTGATTTCTTCAAATTTGAGTTGCAATCTATGTTTAAGGTGCTATGATCAATTGGTCCACTTTGATACAGAAATTCATGCAAACGTATATCGCCATAGTCTCTAGGAGTATTCTTAACGTTTCCACTGTTCATTTGAATGGCATTTGACACCTCATATGACGTTATCTATTGAAACCTGTATTAGGCGGACACCCTGTATTAAGCGGACACTACAGTATTCACCGAGGGTGTCCGCTTAATACAGGTTTCACTGTATTTCGAAAAGACAATTTCAAACTAAGAACACTCAAATTGTGAGAATTACTAGTATTCATTACCTTCTCAGTACTTTTTTTTCAATGGCCTCCATTGAAGGTTTTAATTATAATCAGTTTTGGTATTCAAGGAAAGAAACAGTTAAAATATGCAGACTTTGAAGCTTGTTCCGTTAAGGAAAAAAAAGCCTATTTTGTTTTTAGTTATTATATTGTAATAAATAAATTACAATTACGCAATTAGATGCGCGAATTCTTTGTTAAATGTCGTGAATCGAAGCCTTGGGTATGGGCTTTGGTGACGACACTGGACTGACCGATTGCCCAGGTTTTGTTGGCGCGCCATCAGATTTGTTCTCCCCACGGCATTCCTCAGTCATTTCCAACTGTTTGGGACCTGGGTCGGTTGGTGTTGAGGAACGTGATCCCTGCGGTGAAGCAAGTGGAAGAGATGAAAGAGCAGGACTGGGCGCTAGGATAATTGGCACTGAGCTGGGGCGTACATTGTCAGCTAAGGATCCAAGTTGTGTCGGTGAGCTACTTTTGTTGGAGAGTGATGGCAATGGCGGCTGTAACACAACACAGACTTGCTGTCCCCCGGCTGGTGGCGACGACAGACTGCTTCCTTGCTTTAAGGCTGAGCTTCGCTCGGGTTCTGGAGTGCTCGGCTTTTCCAGTTTTTCACCTACAGATTAAAAAGCCTTATTCAAGAATTTGAACAGAATCTGGCACCAGTTACATTAAATTGCAACTGGCCCCTGTTTGACCGAGGTTAGTGGTCTCAGCCAGATCACTGACTTGGATCTCTAGATAACTAGTTCCGATAGTCATGTTGGCGGTATTTCGTGACACCCTAACCCAAATATGGGATCAGGGATCATAGAACCGTCGATCCTGATTATAGGAAATGGTGGGTGATAGAGAAGGGAGGGGGGTTGATAACTAATACGCAAGAAGGGTGATAAATCAAGCAACGGACCCAGAGTGTTACTGTGTTTTATTGTGGTGCCAACAGCATATTGACCAGAGATGGTCTCTTACGAGAAGTGTAATGTTGTAATTATGGGTTTGCTAGCCTAAAAGGAATCCCTTATTTCAGAGTTACGTTCACAGGCAAAATCTGTCTTAAAAGTGAGAGTTTGCCATTACTTAATTTACATTGATTCAAAGTCACACCACAAATCTTACCTTCCACAGGACGCTGAGGCAAATCTGGCTGCACAGGCTTGGTTTCCTCAACCGCCGCTTTCTCTGGCTCTGTATTCGCTTGAATATTGGCTGCAGGAGTCTGACTGCGAGGCGTGAAAAGCTCTTGACGTAGATTCGGTAAAAAGCAGTCGATTCTCTCCCACGTTACTTGCCACAGGGCGGAGTACTTGTGGATCTCGGAGTCCGTCCTCTTGTGTGTTTTGCGTTCTTCAGAAGACTGGGAATTGGCAGTGATGTTGCATTCTTCTTCATCAAATATCCCGGCTGTAGACATCACAAGCAGCATGTTCTTGAGGGATTCTGGGATGGCTTCGAACTGAAAAAAAACAAAACAAAACAAAACAAAACAAAATTAACTAGACTGTCCCTTTTAAGCCCCAATATGGAGAAATAAAATGTACTTCTAACTTGTAAGTACGTAGATGGAGCGTTTAAGTGTTACAAGTGAGGGCTAATGGGCAGTATAAATTTCCTGTGGCACTGTTTATAATGCTGTGCAAGGTAGTTCTAACCGTTGCGTCTGTAAACGAAATGGTACGATGTGACTACTCAAATGAAACCTCCTCAGCTTTTGTTTCACAAGCTAGTTTTTGTTGTCTAATCTTGGGATTTTTCGTGAATTTTGTGTTCTGCCAACTCTGTAAGTGAAAAGGGAATTGTAAAGACTCCGCGAGCAAAATGATGTCAGGTGGTGGAGGTGGGAGAGGACTTGTTTTCTCTGCCCCACGAGAGCCTGCTCGCAAGCTAATAGGCAGATATAGCAAAGACAATGCAGAGTCTAAAGAGCGCGGAAAGGACTGAACACTACTTCCGGTGCCCAATTTACCGCTCTTCCATTGGTCAGATCGGTTTTTGGATCTGAGCCCGCCATTGTCACTGCCGTCACGTCTTCTTTGCTAAAACTGGTTATCGTAGAAGCCATAACGCAGCATTTTTTTTCTCTCAACGAAATTGATAGTTTTGACAAAAACAGACGCAAATGTCTAACCTAACCCTAACCCTAACCCTAACTTTCATGAAGCTGTACAATGTGCAAACAATTTATTGTGACCAAACTTTTCTCCGCATTGAAGGGAACAAAGACATAAGGTTGATGGTTATTAAGAAGCACTCACAAGAAGGTCGCTTTTATCCGCATGCATGTATTTATCCATGAAATCCAGAATAGTGAGCCACAGAGCGGTAAAAGTGGAAAGTGATAACAGGGGAGTCAAATGCTGCAGAAACACCTGCAAAATAATCCAACAAATTAGCACTAAGCAGGGTGTGAAGTTGTTCGGTACTTGTTACTGTTGTGGAAACCATTATGTTTATGTATTATTAATGTAAAACCTACAGTGCTGCGCCACAGACGAAATAAACTTCTGGTTAAGTCTGTCTGAGAAACAGCGCCAAAATCCTCTTATGGGACTCCACCTGTGTTTGACCTGTTAAAAAGCCACTGTCGATTTGCCAATCAGGTTGAGGAAAATTCGAAACGCATTTTCGGTAGTTTGTTGAGTCCGATGGGAGAAGGGGGACAGCAGAACAAGGATACTCAAAGTTAGCGTCCAAAAATTTGTCTGCGATACGCGAGTGCGCAAAATGTGAATACGCAGCAACGTCAAAGTCTGCCATATCACTGACGCGTCTCTTTAGTATATTGTATGAACAAGTCTATTGCCTGCTTATTGTTACTGATTTATTCTGTCTGCTTAACACGAGAAGGAGTGTTTCTTCAAGATTCCCTAAAACCAAGAAGTTAGTGGGTTGAATAACCCGACACTCCGTCAAGTTCTTCGACAAACCTTAAGAGACAGACGTTAGCAGGTTGTCCGCGTAAAAGATGCTGGGAATTTAATACATACTGCTACTACCATACTTATAAGACAATACTTCAAGAGCACGTTACTAAATCCTTCATTACTTGGAAACTGCGCCATAAGCAGTCGGGAAAACGTCCCCAACCAGTGTCGTAAATTATTCCTGAAAAGCCCTGGGGGGAGTGAGTAATAACAGGAGCCCATCAAATCATCATTGATGGCAATCATCATTGATGGGCTCCTGGTAATAAGATATTTTCAATTCAAATTGTTCTGGAGAATAACTTAGTGGTTGTCCTGTGACATATTTTAAGTGCATGCGCAGTTTTGTTCTAGCGAGCACGAGGTTTTTTGCTTTTCTGCCAGTTCATCACATTTTTTGGAGCAAGCAAGATGAAATTAAATTGTTGATGTTTTGTTTATTTTCTCGTGGTTTTTATGGACTTTCGACCGACCAATTATCCTGGCGAACACAAATTATTTTTTTAATTATTAAAATTTTAGTGACGTGTACCTTGCAAAGAAGTGTCGCGGCTCTCATTCGTGTTTCCTCCACACCCATTGGGTCCCCTGTGTTATTTACTTCCAACAGACGGGATAGCATTGGAAACAAAACCTGTAACAGACAAAGTTCTCCCCTCAAGTACCTACACTAACAAACAATCAACAAAAAAATAAAGCTAAACAAAGATTTATAAAGCAGATTCAAGTCCAGTGATACTTGAAGATAAACCTACCTTATTAAAACAGGCCTCCCATTCTACTGCCGTCAGAGCTTGTAGATCGTGAACCAGCAAAGCACGCTGAAGGTAAGTCAGCGCTGACATTCTCACATCACGGCGCATGTCACAACACAACCGCGCAATTCCCTGCAGTAGCGGGCACCAACACTTGCTCCAGAGAAATTCCATTTCATGATCACACACTGTGCTTGCGACACCACTGCTCGTTTGCGATTGGCTGCTTTCATCCGGGGCTTGATCAAAGAGCACACGTCCGTATGTGTGCAGCGTGTACATAAGCTCGGTGAGTTGCAACGACATGGCATCATAAGTGTTGTTAATCGTTTCAACGATCTCAGCCTCGTCTTCACTACTTGCAGGACTGCTGGTGGCAGACCTTGTGGATTTACGCGTTTTTAAACTCGTGGGACTGACCTTCCTTGACCGCGAAGACGCTGCCTTTTTGCTGTTACGTCCCCAGCTCCCCTTGTAGTCAGCCGCGTGTTCTTTAAACTGCCACCCATCCTGTCTGTATCCTTCACCCCCGTTAATACTCGCTTCTGAAAACACGCGGATGGCGTGTACACACTGCAAAAAGTTCTCTTTCGTAACGTGTGTATTATCACGGATCAAAAACGCCAACGTCTGGCACGATTTAACAAAGGATTTACTATCATGTTTGTTCAGTTTAACCCCAACTGTTAGTTCATACTGATTTGCGGGCGAACTTTCCGAGTCCTGTTTAGTTATCACCAGCCACGTATCGCCTAATATACTCCCACCTAACCCAGAATCCGCCTCTACGCTGGTAAACGAGCTAACATCGCTCTCCGAGTTTGAAAGTCCCTCGGCAAACTCGTAATCTCCCGAGATCGAATCACTATCCGTATCCTTGGAAACCGCTGTCATGGCAACAGGACCAGGAGTCACGGTTGGGAGAGAAGCAGCGGCACCGACGCACTCTAAAAGCGTAAACACTGTGACCCAGTCTCTCGCGGCAGTTATGCTCGAAGCATTTGTCCGTATGAGTTCGTGAAGTCCGAATGAAACTTGCCTACCACAGGCTTGGAGGACATTATGTTTCATCAACAGAAGAATACGAAGAGTTAAAAGAACTTGACTAGAGACTTCTTCTTTGTGTAAAAGGCGGATTGCCAACCGCAGTAGCCCCACAACTGATCTTTCCACGATTGAACTACAAAGAAAATGAGAAATAGTTGTTGCCTAAATTAGATCGAATTGTACACTTTCTAATCTCTACCTTTTGGGGTCATTCTTGCCGGGTAATGGAGGGGAATCCAGGATTTGAACTTTCTACTTTTGCAATTATGCTCTGTTAAGGTAAGCTACGTGACCTGCGTACCTGTCTACAATGTATGTAAAGATTGGGGGAACCTGGAACTTTGTATATGTCGTGGTAAAATCTTTGTTTTTTTTTTTAATTCTGGTTATGGTAAAATATGCTAATGACTATAAAAAAGACAATAAATTTGAACATATGATATAATTACTTTCAATTGCCTCCACTTCTGAACCAAACTGCTCCATTTTATATTGTTGCACATGATGTAATTTTTCCTTACCTGTGCTGAGTTGCATTCACAAGAATATTGGACAAATGGTCTCTCACTGTTCCCCACAATGCTGAAACACGATCCCTAAAAAAAAAACAGAAAAATACCAACAATATAGTCAGACAAATCGGGTTTCTATTGTCACGAGACCAGCAAGACCAAAGTATTTGTAAAACACTTGAAACCACTAGTCATCTGGAGGAAATAGGACGTTTGTTGTTCTTTTCTCATTGGTTAGAACATATCTCATTGAAAATTCAAGCTCAAGATTGTTGAACAGCTTCGTGGATCCACGGCTGCAAGTCGGAAAGCTTTATCGAGCTTCGCTTATCTCGCTGCAAGATACGAACTAGCTTTCTTGACTTGGGGCTCCCCGCTGCGTATATCGCGGCCACGAGCTGTTGTAAAGAATAATGGGTTACCGCGAAATCTGAGGATAGCTTAGTGAGTGAGCTACCTGTTCTGCAAAACAACTCTGATTAAAAGTTCCAAAAAGAAAACCGCAGCCTCTTCTTCATAAGATTCTTGGTTATCAACGCTTGAATTATAAATTAACACCTATAAAAAAACAAACAAACAAACAAACAAATTAATACGCACAAGAGAGTGAACTCTGTGGCCAATGAACTATGGAAAAGGACAACAACAAAATGAAATGTAAAACACGTAACATGAGTGCTTATGTAAATAGAAGTCGGACCCTAAAAGTCCAAGAGAGAAAACAGGAAAGCAACGAATGAAAATAAACAAACACGTGCTTAGTAACGTGATTTTGTTTACACACAAAGCAATTAACACTGAACCCCCAATATCGACAAGCGAATTCTCCACACTGATCTCTACACATTTCCTTACAGAATTAGTTGAGAGAATTTGATAATGGATCAAAGAATTTCCCATCTTGATGATCATGATTGGAGTAAAATCTCGTGACCTTTTCTTTTGGATACATATTGACACTGTTGGGAGAAAATAGATCTTCATTGCTTGGGATCTTTATGGGTTAAGAACTTGTTTGAAAGAGTTCGCACGTTTAAGATCGAATAGGACAACAAAACAAACGAACTGAACAAACAAACTGTAGCCTGATTCTGATTGGCTCCAAAGATGTTTGCTTCCGGTTGAAGGGTGTAGAAGCGAGCGACGTCGGCGAATCAGGGTAACTTAATCTTCGCGACAAGCGGGTTTATTCTTTTCACAATGCCAAATGTTGAAACATCTAAATAAAAGGCTGTTTATAGCGTCCTAGATCTGATAAGATAATAGTACAACCTTCATTAGTTCATTCAGCGACTCGGGTCTTAGGAATTTGCTCTCTGTGATAAGAAGTTCTGGGTGGCATTCCTGTGGGAAAGAAATAAAAGTTAAAAAACGATTTGCAACTCACTGGAAAAAAATTTGTTTTTACTTTTACCACTAATAACCTAAGGCGACCAAACGACACCACCTTCCTCGTGGACTATCGAAAAGCCAGTCTAACTTTCACAAGAAGAACAGTTTGTTCGGAACAGATTCAAATCACAAAATCAAGTTTCAAGAGTTTAATATTATTTGCTGCCTTGTACATCGCTACGCTGTATGATCGGCAAAAAGTTTCGCGCCAACCTCCCACCGATCAGAAGTCAAACCAAACCAACTCGTGCCTTGTTTGCACGTGTTCCCGCGCTAGTCACGGCTACACGTATTTGCGTCTCGTTCTGATTGGTTCACTAGATTTCCCCAACTATTGTGATTGGCCAATTGTTGTACTCACTCTAATGCAGTTATGCGCTTGTTTCTGAGCTTCCTTATCTTCCGTTGTTTGTCCTCTGTTGCTCGCCGGCTCCGGGTTTACCAAGTACCACCATGAAAATATCGAAGTTTCCTGCCTGTGATCAAGTACAATTTATAAAGTCAGCTACGTTTTCTTAAGTTAACGGTCAAATCGGCTGCTCTACCATTTTCTGCGTTAGATTATGCTTCATTCTGAAGTTTTACCTTGTAGACGGGAGCTCCTCCGGGAGAAGACTTATTCTTCCGCTAGCTTCAACAAAATCTTCAGCCTAAAAACAAAACCACGGCAACAACTCAGTCTATGAAATTGTAAACAAATGTGTTGGTTACTCTCCTACGCAGCTGTTATGTCGTCACGCAACGATCCTCTCCTCCTTACCCAGATCGCTTAATGACGAAGTCTTCTTCGTCAACAACAGATCTGGGGACGACATTACTCCTCTTCCTCTCCTGTGGGAAGGAGCGTTGATTGACGTCACAAAAAACGGCTGCGTACGAGAATACGTATTGGCAACGTAGACTAAGATTTGAAATCCAAGGCGCAAGGGCAGTGTAATGCTCTGGTGAGCTCAAACAAGCCATGCTGTACAGTGTGTGGACCAAGGGAAGGAGGAAGTGCACTATAATCCTTCAAACTGGGGGATAAACTATGGAGACGTACAATACGCCATGCAATCGGCTACAAAATACCCGCCCATTATAAACCAATCAGAAATTTAGCAACCCCCAAACAATCATGACTTCCTCGCAAACGTTTTCCCGCGCTTTATGCTGGCTGCACGTATTCGTAACCAATTCTGATTGGCTCATTGAACTGACAGCCTCTGTTGTAATTGGACGGAGAAAAACTGCTTAACTAGGGAGATTTTCCTCACCTCGACCAAAGACTTTGGCAGCATTTTGGCCTTAAACAGTTGAAGCATACAATCCATGATGTTTTTCCAGCCTTCCCGGAGAATATCTCCATGGCGATGAGCCAGTGCAAACAGAGTTCTTGCAGACTGCTGCGCCTTCAAATTTTTACCAAATGCAACTGGAAGACTTTCACCAGTCTAAAAACAAAATGACGAAAATTTAACAAACATGCAGAGAAAAATATATTTAATTGTGTTAAACAGGTGGATCACTTACAAAATGTAAGAACGTTTATTTTTTTTCACAATCGTAAGCTCTCCGGCTTAAAAGAGGAGAAAAAGTACTAACCTCTGGCGGTATTTTAGTGAGTGAGCTACCTGTTCTGCAAAACAACTCTGATTAAAAGTTCCAAAAAGAAAACCGCAGCCTCTTCTTCATAAGATTCTTGGTTATCAACGCTTGAATTATAAATTAACACCTACAAAAAAACAAACAAACAAACAAATTAATACGCACAAGAGAGTGAACTCTGTGGCCAATGAACTATGGAAAAGGACAACAACAAAAATGAAATGTAATGCACGTAACATGAGTGCTCGTGGAAATAGAAGTCGGACCCTAAAAGTCCAAGAGAGAAAACAGGAAAGCTACGAATGAAAATAAACAAACACGTGCTTAGTAACGTGATTTTGTTTACACACAAAGCAATTAACACTGAACCCCAAATATCGACAAGCAAATTCTCCACACTGATCTCTACACATTTCCTTACAGAATTAGTTGAGAGAATTTGATAATGGATCAAAGAACTTCCCCTCTTGATGATCATGATTGGAGTAAAATCTCGTGACCTTTTCTTTTGGATACATATTGACACTGTTGGGAGAAAATAGATCTTCATTGCTTGGGATCTTTATGGGTTAAAAACTTGTTTGAAAGAGTTCGTACGTTTAAGATCGAATTGGACAACAAAACAAACGAACTGAACAAACAAACTGTAGCCTGATTCTGATTGGCTCCAAAGATGTTTGCTTCCGGTTGAAGGGTGTAGAAGCGAGCGACCGTCGGCGAATCAGGGTAACTTGATCTTGGCGACGAGCGGGTTTATTCTTTTCACAACGCCAAATGTTGAAACATCTAAATAAAAGGGCTGTTTATAACGCCCTAGATCTGATAAGTAAATAGTACAACCTTCATTAACTCATTCAGCGACTCGGGTCTTAGGAATTTGCTCTCTGTGATAAGAAGTTCTGGGTGGCATTCCTGTGGGAAAGAAATAAAAGTTAAAAAACGATTTGCAACTCACTGGAAAAAAAATCTGTTTTTACTTTTACCACCAATAACCTAAAGCGACCAAACGACACCACCTTCCTCGTGGACTATCGAAAAGCCAGTCTAACTTTCACAAGAAGAACAGTTTGTTCCGAACAGATTGAAATCGCGAAATCACGTTTAAAGAGTTTTATATTATTTGCTACTTTGTACATCGCTACGCTGTATGATTGGCAAAAAATTTCGCGCCAGCCTCCCACCGATCGGAAGTCAAACCAAACCAACTCGTGCCTTGTTTGCACGTGTTCCCGCGCTAGTCACGGCTAGACGTATTTGCATCTCGTTCTGATTGGTTCTCTAGATTTCCCCAACTGTTGTGATTGGCCAATTGTTGTACTCACTCTAATGCAGTTATGCGCTTGTTTCTGAGCTTCCTTATCTTCCGTTGTTTGTCCTCTGTTGCTCGCCGGCTCCGGGTTTACCAAGTACCACCATGAAAATATCGAAGTTTCCTGCCTGTGATCAAGTACAATTTATAAAGTCAGCTACGTTTTCTTAAGTTAACGGTCAAATCGGCTGCTCTACCATTTTCTGCGTTAGATTATGCGTCATTCTAAAGTTTTACCTTGTAGACGGGAGCTCCTCCGGGAGAAGACTTATTCTTCCGCTAGCTTCAACAAAATCTTCAGCCTAAAAACAAAACCACGGCAACAACTCAGTCTATGAAATTGTAAACAAATGTGTTGGTTGGTCTCCTACGCAGCTGTTATGTCGTCACGCAACGATCCTCTCCTCCTTACCCAGATCGCTTAATGACGAAGTCTTCTTCGTCAACAAGAGATCTGGCGACGACATTACTCCTCTTCCTCTCCTGTGGGAAGGAGCGTTGATTGACGTCACAAAAAACGGCTGCGTACGAGAATACGTACTGGCAACGTAGACTAAGATTTGAAATCCAAGGCGCAAGGGCAGTGTAATGCTCTGGTGAGCTCAAACAAGCCATGCTGTACAGTGTGTGGACCAAGGGAAGGAGGAAGTGCACTATAATCCTTCAAACTGGGGGATAAACTATGGAGACGTACAATACGCCATGCAATCGGCTACAAAATACCCGCCCATTATAAACCAATCAGAAATTTAGCAACCCCCAAACAATCATGACTTCCTCGCAAACGTTTTCCCGCGCTTTATGCTGGCTGCACGTATTCGTAACCAATTCTGATTGGCTCATTGAACTGACAGCCTCTGTTGTAATTGGACGGAGAAAAACTGCTTAACTAGGGAGATTTTCCTCACCTCGACCAAAGACTTTGGCAGCATTTTGGCCTTAAACAGTTGAAGCATACAATCCATGATGTTTTTCCAGCCTTCCCGGAGAATATCTCCATGGCGATGAGCCAGTGCAAACAGAGTTCTTGCAGACTGCTGCGCCTTCAAATTTTTACCAAATGCAACTGGAAGACTTTCACCAGTCTAAAAACAAAATGACGAAAATTTAACAAACATGCAGAGAAAAATATATTTAATTGTGTTAAACAGGTGGATCACTTACAAAATGTAAGAACGTTTATTTTTTTTCACAATCGTAAGCTCTCCGGCTTAAAAGAGGAGAAAAAGTACTAACCTCTGGCGGTATGAGGAACGTGGTGAATTTACATAGTGAGATTACGAGGTTATCAAACACATCCGACAGACTGTAATGCGCTGAAATTAGGGCACATTTTCTGAAACCAAAAATACTTACATCAGTTTGGTCAAATTTACCCTTCGTTCCTCTTAAGAAAATATGAGCTCGGAATAGACTGTTTATCAGTAGTTCGCTTAATAGCCTGCGGTAGCCTTTGAGTGAATGCGAGCCAAAGTTGAGTTTGTTTGTTACAAACCACCCTGCATGCTTGTATGGAAACTATGGTCATCCCCAGCCTCACTTGCAGCAACTGTCTATTAGCCTGATAAATGACTTGTAACTATTAATTCTTGAAAGACAGAACAAAATTTTAAATACTCTCGCAACCTTTCTAAAATTAGATTGCGATCCAGCTTTAAACGTCCAGTACCGTCTATGACTTTCACTTCAGAATTGTGACAGTTAAAGACCGCACCCACCTGAATCCTACAATAGCTTTTTGTACAACGCTCTTTTCCAGGCCATTATCATACACGTATGACAAAGCCGCGACAGTTGGTCCCCAGATGATAAGAAACAAATCCTGATCAAAGCTGCTGCCAATTCCATGAATGTACTTTCCTTCAGGTGTACCAGCTCGCCGCAACAAAACCTACAAAATTTAAGGCACGTATTGCTTAGTAAGATCTGGAATTTCCCAGCTTTTGCGCCGGCACGAAAGTCATACCGGAGAGAGCTTATGTTTACACATAAGAACAGTGATTCCAATTCGGCGCGATTTCTGCAACGGAGCGAAGCTGTGACGCACCGATCTCGAAAGTGGAGCGTCACATATCGGATAGGTTCTGCGCCACACTTTGGTGCAGTGTAAACAGGTATTTACTATACACTTTCTAAAAGTCCTTTATTTTTTTCCTGGTTAGTTCGGCCATTTTAAAAGACTTTTCATACCTGTTTGGCGCGAAATTCACCGGTCGAAAATTCTACCGGTGACGTCATGACAATTGACCAACAGGACAGTGAGTGACAATTCACGCCGCTCCCGACACAACATCTGTCAATTATTTTTTCCCCCGTGGAATTATAATATAATTTAAACCCATTCAGGTGAAACAAGTCGACATCGAGATTTCGTCGCTCGCTCGGTCGCTGCGCGACCTCATGCATTAAAGCTCGCTTCGCTCACTTTAAAGAACTTATGAGAGGTCGACTTGTAGCAAGTCTAACAGGTATTTGGACCGTAACGGGAGTGAATAAGAAGGAAAGAGGACTGGGACCTACTGAGAAGGAAACAAAGAGGATTGGTATTTAATTTACCACATCCTCTCAGCCAACCACTCCGGTAGCACCATGTTCGATGTGAGTGAACGATTTGTTCCAGTTCTATCGCGTTGCTATTCAGAGTGAACAAAGCCAAAAGCCATGTCGCGCTTGATTGTCTCACCTTCCATTCATAATTTTCTTTGATTTTTCCACTTCTTTCAGCAGGCATCACAATTTCTTCAGTTCTGTTAAAAGTACAGAAGTTCTGTTAAAACGCATGCTCAGAGCTGCAAATAACACCCGGTCCGGTCATCGGACAACGTGCAACTAAAATTGGCCCAAGTAGGACGAAATCTTAACTGTGGTGACCGTACAAAGGTAACACCAAACGCTGTCTTTTTTCAGATAAATAAAATCTTACCGGAGCGCATGGGAATTGTTGTACTAATAGCCTGCAGAACAGGTGCTATTTTTGTTCGCGTTTTTCAGGCAAACGAAGCAACAAGCGGGTGTACAGCGCGAGACACACGGGGGAAGGCGCCTTTGCAGCTTATATCATAGAGGGTCAGTCGGGATACAGACACGATGTGCTTTCCAACAAACACTACTCAGTTGTGGTATTGGTTCTTTACCTTATTGCGTGGTAAATTTCTTCCAGCATGCTAGCTTTAAAGTCACTTGAGCCGTTTGTTTTTCTTAGATTTCTTTTGAAGTCCTACAGTAACAAAATACATACGTTAAACGGCTAACATTGGTACCAATGGTGGTTAACAAATGCTAAATCTTACTTCACTTGGATAGTAACAGCTATTAAGAGAACATTAGTGACCCCATAGAACTAGTACCACTACGGGTAGCCTCTCAATTTTTGTCGAGCAAAACGCAAGAGAAGAAACAAGGCCACGCCCTGGGAGGAGAGTGCCTACGTTTCTCGCGGTTTCAACGCGCCACTTGGTTATCAGTTTGGGGTGTGCGTTCACTCCACTATCTTTGAAGAAAAACTACAGACTACTAAACGTCTAAGGACTAGTTGGATATATATAACCCTAGCCAGAAAAGATGAACGACGATTGGCGGGAGAATGATTTTACCAGTTGGTCTGAGATCAAGATTTAAAATTGAGACAAGAGAGAATATTAACTACAGACAAAGAGAGCAAAGGAAACTCTAGAAGTACACTTTACCTCACACGTCATGGGCTTCTGTTGTTTAATGTTCGAATTGTGTTGATCAACATTCAACATAATCACAGCATAAGATAACGTGAAAACAGCGTCTTTGTTTGCATACGGCTCGGGGTTACCCTCCTGCAAAAAAGAACGACGAAATTTAGCTTCAAATCAAATAAACAGATCTTAAACTTTTAAGTAACTTTCAGTAAACTATGGGAACTGTTTAAGACAACATTTCTTGCAATCTTCGTGCTCAAAATTGCTTTCCCCAGTCTTGACAAAGGATGCACGTACGTGTACTAATCCCAAGTGGGTCTTGCGAGCACGCACGTAAGTACGCACGCGCCGTGCTATACGCGTTAACGCCTGTGCGCATCTAACCAACTGTGTGTCAGTAAAAAGTCGCGGAGTCAGGGTCGGTGTCGGGGTCAGGAACTATCGTCCCCTTTTTTCGTTTTCTGTATTATGCTTTGGTTTTGGGGAATAGACGCTGAATTGACTGACACCCTGAATAAATTAACCCGCCACTGACGCAAGAAACAACGGAGCAAAACGCCCCGCGAGATCACGCAGGCGCCGGTTAGTTTTTTTGGTAAGTTTTAATTGTGTGCACGCGTGTCCTCGATATTTCTCCTTTCGCCCTTAAAACCGGCCTACCGGCTAGCCAGCTTGCTCAGCCATTTCCTCAATCGTGTGGCAAACTTAATACGTTCAAACTTCTTTATCTAATTAACAAGGTGTCGTTTCTTTATTTGCACCTACTTTTCACCCGTCTGATGTTTCACTGAACTGATGAGTTTACTTACGTAAAGGAGCTCCGAGAAGAACTCTATGATATGCTCAATTACAGGACTCTCTCCAGGCAAACGAAAACTTTCCAGGAATGAACGAAGGGCTTCGTCGATTCTCAAATCGTGGAAATGGAAAGATCTGTAGATACATTTACAAATCAATTAGCAAAGAAGCTTTTCAAAAGCAAGTGTGCCCAGCGTTGTAGACTTTATGTTAAGCCTATCATTGCTTCTTCAACCGCTTAAAAACAAACGCAGAACCGACCTGACTAGCAAATCGGCACACACTTTTCCCGCGTTAGTCTGAGTGAGTTCTAATTGGCTCTTTGAACAGACCGATTTCTGCAGAATGCTTAATATAAAAGGTAATTAAGCTCGACGTCTTTTTAATTACGCTGTTTCTGAGACGTTGTTTTGCTTATCAGTCCTTTTATCGCGTAAGGTAAAAAATATATATATCAAGAAAACAAGATACCTAACAAACGCCTCTAATACTCGAGAGTTCTTTTTATCCCCAATGTAATCACCAATCGTCTTTTTGTCCAGACGTGGATTTTCACGCAGAAATTTCGCCATTTCTTCAGGATTGAGAGGAGAGGATAGTAAACCATGCTCTTGCAGAAATTCAATTCCTTTCTTCGGTTTATTGTTGAATTGTTCGGTCCCAGCTTGAAGAATCTGGAAAATTTAATTTAATTAACTCAAATAATTATAGCGATTGTCTGTCACATGCGCAATTAATGTGCCTGCGTATGGCACCAGTTGTAAGGTTTTTCCGTCCAATTTCCACCCACGGTACCAAATGCAAAGGCTGGTTTTCACTAGCTGCGGAGTCGGGGTCATAATCAGAAGCGTAGGACTTAATGATCCAGTGAAAACAGCGTTCTGATTACGCTTACGAAACTGTCGTTTACGATCAGGTGATAACAGGGTTGTTGAAGTCGCAGCAGAAGCAGAAGAATTTAACCAATCACAAAGCGTAGGAACGTGCAGTGTGATTGGTTTATCCTTCGAATTCTGCTTCCAACTCCGACAATTTGGTTTTTACTAGATCTTCTCAAACTCATCAATAATTCATAAAGAAAATATGCTTACAAAGGAAATTCATGTTTAATGAGGTGTTTGGAAATCAGAATCAGAATCCGTTTCTCCTTCTAAAATCATTTTGTTTGAGAAGCAATATCAAGCATTTGACGCAGTTTTTCATCACCAGTCATCCCGCGCTTGGAACCAGCTGCAAGGGCAGGTTTGCCTGCCTTTTTACGATTTTACGCCCTCTGTGCACGATGCAGCTTCAATGTAGCAACTCCTGTTAGCTTCACAGTCTTTTTTCTAAATAAACAGCAACAACGACAGAACAATAAAATACACTACAACGTACCTTTTTTCTTTGTCTGAGCGTAGCCAGTGTATCGGCGGTTGGAAACTGAGAAGAGAACAGTAACCCCATAGACGAGTGAATCAGTTTATCACTAGTTTCGTTCGTCTTAAAACCTTTCTCTTGACTTCCCGGCAGCTCCTCCGCCATCACGCCTACCGTCATTTTCTTGGCCATGGCAAAGCCTGACGTGGGTGGGGAGGGTGGGGTTAAAGGCGGCGAGTCACAGTTTTCGTCTGTGCCTGAATCATCATCACCTGAAATATTTTAGATAAACAGACTTTTAACAGTCACTTATGCGCAAACGCGTTGTCCAGAAATACAGGGTAATCACATTATTATTATCAATCCAAAACATTTCTCCGTTATTGATCGACTTAAATCTCCCACCTTATTATTCATAACCAGATTGCTAAATCTGATATGAAAAACAAGACTTTCCAATGGGGTCAAACGTTTTAAGCGTTTTCCCTGTTTTAGTTTCTAGGACTCCATTTACCATTATGTGGAATTATGGTGAAAGATGTACAAAGTAACTACTTAACTATATTTTTCATTTTTCTCAAAATATCAAGCTTCTTTTCGTTGAAAACGCTACACGCCCTCGTAAAATTATTCTGACAGATGGCGCCGGCGATAACACTTAGAACTTAGATAGATAGATAGAAACTTTATTAAATTGTCAAAAGCCGTCTAGCCAGGGAAAAAGAATCCCTTACTAATTTGGGGACATCAAAATTAATTAATTGGTAAACCTACAAAAACATTGGCAAATTAACAGCGTATTTGTAACATCGTATGTTTCCAGCAGTGAAAAGTAGCAACCTTAGCTTTAAAGTAAAACTTTTCTTAGTTCTTGCAAATTTTTCTCGTTTGACCGCGGTGAACATTTTGTTAACCGTTGGGAACTTTGATAACTCACCTTACTCGGTATTTGTTTCTTTATTAGCGACCTTTAGATTTGAGGACAAGAACGACTACGAGTACGAGATTTGATTTAAAGTTTTTTCGCGTACTCTCAAAAAATAAAAACCTAGGAATGCTTCACTTTACTTATTTTCACATGAAAAGTTGGCACTTTAACCTTTATTGGAGGAGGTTAACCCCTCTCCAGACTGCAAAATGATAAAACTTCTAACATTTAGTCATCTGATATCTTGTTTCCGCCAGTACGATATTCTCGCTAAAACTCGTAGACGGCTATCACCTTTCTTCCGCCAAAATGACGCTGCTTCACTGGCGAGCACACCTTAGTATTGAGAAAATCTCGTACTCATAGTCGTTCTCGTCTTAGAATCTAAAGTTCTCTATTGATCTTTTGGAGGTTGCGCGCGAGACTGGGGGAGTATTGTTTCAAATTGAACTGTGGGACTGTTTTCAGGGACAATTTTGGACACAGTTGCGCGCCAAACTCCGTAACAGCCAATGAAAGTAGAGATGACGTCCTCAAAACAGTCCCATAGTGCACTTCAAAACAACACCTAACCAGTCTCCCGCTTAACAACAACAACAACAACAACAACAACAACAACAATATTTTATTTCCCTTATTAAGGTTTACACGAGTGCACTGGCCCGCAGGTAGGCGGGCCAGTCAATTTACCTGTAGGAAATATTTAATGTTACTTGATTAAAATGAGGAAAGATTATACGGGGAGAAAAAAAATTACAGAAGATAAAGTTTTTCGGAAATTACCTGACTTTTCCTTCTTCTTCTTTTGAATTCCATTAGGAAAATTTTCCTCTACTGCCTTTTCCACTGTGTTCAACAACTGGGAATGGCAGTGACCTTCAATGCTTTGAACCACAGCGAGAAGCGCATCAAGTGCCAGAATATGAACACTGTATAGACTGCCAGCTGGAAAGGCATTCTAAAATAGAAAGCATAAATAAATCAAACTGCCCGTGAATGATGAAGTTACAAACGACTGCAAGTGGTCCATCAGTTGCCAAGAGAATCGAGGGGTTGGTTCAATGTCTCTCTCTACCTAAGAAAATGATGGAAAGTGGTTATGGGTTTCGTAGCCTGAAAAAATTTTCGCGACACCACCACTGGTTTCCCGCCAAAATGACGTCTGAGAAACGAGCGCAGAAATTTCATACTGATGACGTGTCACTACCCTGATCTGGGTAGTGCTTCTGATTGGTTGAAGGAAATCTTCAGAGGTCCTTTAGAGGGGAAACCACCTTGGTCGCGTCGCGAAATGTAGGATGTTTTCTCAGGCTATAGGTTTTGAAAAAAAAAAAACACCGTCAACTCTATGCGAGTGAATGACGCCAAATAAAGAACAAATTCTGTTGTAAATTCTCTAAAAATATGCCAAATTTTCCATTGAATGTAACTCTGGACACTCGGGCCTGGTGGAGAGAAAACCTAACAATAATATTTTCTGAAAGAAAGATGAAATCGATCTACATGTGTATTACCTTAGAAAGTAGTTTGCAGAGTTCCTCAAAGACATTGGTGCTGTAAATATCACAATCATAGTTGAGGTAAAGCTCCATTACTAGATTAGGAACACGGAATAACTGTAAAGAAAAAAAAAAAATAGATAAGCTAGAAGATGGTACACACCTGATAAAAAAAAGTCAGCATTTGGAAACAAACTGGATTTTGTTTTACTTTACTGCTGACTTGGCACAAAATTTTCTTGACAAGATAATCCACATGGACTGTTACCTGGTTAATTGCATCCAAAATTAGCTCTCTTTTCTCGTAATGAACACTTTGTAGATCTAATGCCAGGATGTCCATTAGCTTCTTAAAGAACATCTACAAATGAAAAAAAAAATATGTTAAACTGTTGAGGAGTTCTGCACCAGGTTTGAGGTGTCAGATTAGCAAACATGTTCACCTTCATCTCAGTAATTAAAGTATTTCCAATTATCATCTCATCTGCAACCAAATTAACGTTGACCCCTTAACTCATTAGAGCGGTTTTCATTTGAGTGTCGAAAAGTAATTGGTTTTGCACTTTCTACACGATGCGATTGGCTTAAAAGATTGGCGCCACCTTTTCATCCAATCAGAAGTAAAACCAAAGCCAATTGTGACGCGCTCTTTGCGTCAGCCACATGTAATTACTTCGAGTTTTGATTGGTTCAATGTATTGTCTGTGTCCTATGTGATTGGCCAGAGTAATTACTTTGGTTTTGGTTTTACGACACTCAAACGAAAACCACTCTAAAAACGCATCAAGAGTAACCAAACGTGCTACCAACCTCCATTTGAAACTTGAGATGAACACGCAGACCTTCAAAAAGCAGGAAGCAGACTCTGAGGGCCATAGTGAACAAGCCAAGGAGATCGCATTGAATGAGCTGCAGACAAAAATTCAGACAATACTAATTAAGGAAGGATATGTAGAAGAATCCCATGTAAAGGAGTGTTTCTAAATGTGATGTAATCATTATCCATAACAATGAAATACAATAATCATTAGTGTATTTCATTATTATGGACGATGATTACATCGAATTTAAAAACACTCCTTCACATGGAATTGTTCTGTATATCCTTCCTTAATCAGCATGAATAGAATATCTACCCAGTTCAATAAGCAATAAGTCATGGCTTTGTTTTGTATTAAGGGCTCAATCAGTTTGTTAGCCTGCAAGCAGGCTCACTTTTGCGAGTTTGGGAAAAATTTTGGCCGTAGATCTGCCAGCATGCAAGGAAAAGTGACTTTTCCTCGCACCATGGTGGGTCACTTTTGTGAGTTTGGGAAAAATTTCGGCCGTAGATCTGCCAGCATGCAAGGAAAAGTGACTTTTCCTCGCACCATGGTGGGTCACTTTTGTGAGTTTGGGGAAAAGTTTGGTGGCAGATCTGCCAGCGCGCAAGGAAAAGTGACTTTTACTCGTGCCATGCCAGCTCTGCTGCTGAAATTTTTCCTCAAACTAGCACAAATGGCACAAGTGAGTCTGCTTGTAGGATAATAGTTTCTTGGTGTTTACACAGGTGCAATCAACAACGACATAATTCAGTGGAACCCCGCCATACCAAAAAAGACACTGAAGAATACTGCCACACCACAATGCAACACCTAACCAACAATGGTTTCCGCACCACCAAGAAACACCCAGGACTTGGATCAATGTATACAAATGAATGAGTTCATGATTTTTTTGTTGTTGTTGTTTTATAATGTTACTTCCTTTTCCTTTATCAAGACCAATGTTAGCTTCAATCAATTTTCAATTTTCACAGAATACCTACCCAAAAAAGATTCTTGCACATGTCATCCTTCACATAGTTCATAAGTGATGGAAACGTTCCAATGTGATGTGAACCAGATTCCAGAGCTACAGTTAACAGAGACAGGCCCATGTGGATCATGGCTTCTGAATTATGCCTGAAACCATAGTGTAACTTCTGTTAAGGCGACTTCTTATCCAGTCCGCAAACAATAAACATACAATCTTTTACTAAGAAATAATTTCAGTCCTTGAAATTCAATGTGATGGGCTAGATCAGGGGCACCCAATGACAGTTTTCTGTAAAATATCAGTTCGGAGAAGCAAAAAACTGGCTAGAATTTTCTATAGCTTGAGGAAGGCTAAAATAATATTTCTAGATGACAGTTCCATTCATGTAAAATTTTCAAAGCTTATCTAATAAATATTCCCTATGATTTTCTAAAGTTTAATTTTTCGGATTTGATTCCCCAGGTTAGGCCAATTTCATAGAAAAAGCAAACCTAAAATTTTGCGGATTCGTAAACTTTAACTTGCATCTAAAATTTCCCAGAAAGTAACACTGGCGCCCTTTTAATTTCAAAAAGACTCAAGTTGCCCTAGGATGACCGAACAGATACAAATTTCTATAGCCCCGCTTTAGAATGTATTTCTAGAGACCTAAAAGTACTCTTATAGCATAGAAAGACATTTCAATGTGTTTTGGAGGAAACTGTCATTGGGTGCCCCCCTAGATGTGTTATATGCAACTGACATTTTAGGTGTAGTTTTGTAATAGCGGTACACTTATTGTCATAAAGGAGATATTCTGTACAGGAAAAATAACCAAAGAGCAGTTGACGAAACAACGTTGAAAACTAAACAAAGAATATAACTATTCTAGAAGATTCCAGTCCAAAACAAAAAGTAAATAAGAGTATGTGGGGAGCTAATTTAGGATCTAATCTAAACTAGGTGTCTGATCCAACAAACAGAGAACGGTACTTTATCATCACATCACTGCATCAAGGATTATTCTGTCATTTAAGACTGACTGGGGTTTCTTCGTGGAGCAGGAGGAAGAGGTAAGAGAGAAAATCCTTTTGACCAGGCTACCAACTGCTTCTCCAAGCAGAAGAATGATACACAAGCGAGGGTCCAAAAACCTCTCAGAGAGAGTATAGCAATAAGCTACAAACCTACCTGTCATGAGGGTTTATGAGTGAAATAAGAAATCTGAACAGCTCCCTGATGCAAGGTAGTCCGTAAGGGACCAGAGGACCAGCACCTACCATTAAAGAAGAAAAACAGAGATTAGTCAGCAGCAATTAATCTCGCCTTTAATCTTTTAAATTTTTTTTACACTTGTACAAGTCATGTACATCTCTGATAGCCTAAACAGCAAAGCTCACAGTGTACATGTAGCACATCTTATTTGCTTGCATGTTTTATTGCTGAAACAAAGAATACATAGCAATTCTCAGGAGATCCAATCCTTTGTTTTCAATTGTCAGAAATACACCTGTAACAAGTGCAATACAAACAATGCTCCAAAAGAACTGTTACATGATCGAAGATCCAGGGCCAACTAAAAATGCGTGAACAAAAAAATAAGGACTACCAGATATCCTGAAGATACATGATCTAGGATGGGCCAACTAAAAATCCATGAACAAAAAAATAAGAACTACCAGATATCCTGAAGATACATGTGCATGTAATTTCTAAAAGAAAGTGTTAAAATGTTTACTCTGTACCTTCTTTAACAGGTTCTTGGGGTGTGAAACGCACCCCACGGGGGTTCACATAGTCATCTTGTTGCAGACTGGACTCTGACTGGGTACCTTCAGTAACTTCTGACAAGTCCTCTGATTCCACCGTTTCTAATGACGCAGTGCTACCCATTATTTCTTTCCTGTCATCGTTATCCTCTTCTGTCATAAGGGTGCTAGCAACACTTTCTTGGCCATCCTGAGAAGTTTGAAGAAATGCTACAGTTGTAAATGGCGATGGAGGACGAGTTTGAAACCGAGAGCGAAGAAGATGATGAATGAAAACTTCATTCGTGAAGTGAACAAAACAAAATGGCTCCTTTAGGAGCCACCACTTCAATAAAAGTTTATGACCAACAGCAATGATTTTCGTACGCAAACTACTGGTAATTTGTGTTGTTGATAATTGCTCGGCTTATAGCCGAATATAAACATTCAACTGAAGCTTTTGCAGCATTAGAAAAATTTTTTTTTTTGCAAAAATATTCAGCTACAAGCCAAACCCCCTATCTTGTAGAAATTACCCTAGTTTCCAGTTTAATTAATTGGTGCAAAAATTGCTCGGTTTATAGTCTAATAAATACGGTACCACTGTACTGTACACAAATAGTTTATCTGTGGGAAGTTAAGACACACAAAAGAGCTACAGCAAAGGGCTGATTGCAGGCTATAAAGAATTTGAGCACATTTTATACCCTGTCCCTATACCTGCAGCTATGATTCAGTGATAACAAAAATAAGGATTTGCTTAACTCATACCTCCTGTTCAATAACCTTGTCACATCTTCCTTCCTGTTCATTTTCAGACATAACCAGTCCCTCAACACTCAAAGTATCTCCCTCAACCTGACTGCTCATCAGTTGAGAGGCTACTGATGGCTCTCCCTCAGGTAGGGGCTCTGTGGCATTAGTACATTCTTCAATAGGCTTCTCTGTGTCCCCACCAGGAACGGCCCCCTCTGGTACCACCTCAGGTTTTTCAGTTTCCTCCTCATTAACCATGTCTTCGTGTTCTTTAGTTTCTGTATTTACTTCTTCGTCTACCACCTCTTTGAGTTCCTCTTCGATCTTGCTGATCTCTGGTTGTCGCTCTAAGGCTGGTGGTGGGGCTGGTGTAGTTGTTGGACCTGATGTTGTTGCCGAGGTAACAGAAACCTCCTCTTGATGGGCTCTCCTTGGTTTAGGTGAAAAGTGTTTTTTCCTCTTTCCACTTGAAATAGCTCCAGCACGTTTGAATACCTACAATGAAATAAATTCCTTCTAAAACAAATAATTATAATAATTTGGAATGGAAAGGCTGTATACTTTTCAGTAACAACCAAGGAGACAAAGTGACACTCAAACTTTATTTTCCACTCAATTCCATTTTTTGTGTAAAGCTAATCTCTCATATTAACCACTGTGATTTATCCATTGTAATAATTTTCTAATATAAATAACAGTAGAAAGTAGACTTCCCATTGAACCATTCACACTCAAAAACCCTACTTGAGATATGAAAAAAATCTGAGCAAGGTGTGACAACTGGGAGAAAAATGTGAGGAAGAGGAGAGACCACAGTAGAAAAATTAAGTGTAGTGTTTTTTCCACTATTTTGTGACCATCATCTAGTGAATTATGTATTGAGACAGGTACAGTAAAATAGATCTACTGTAACTTGTACAATAATTATAAGCCATGGTAATTGAAGCAACTTTAAACCTACCTTTCTTATGTTGGTAACTACTCCTGATTTTAACTCTTCTTTGAACTGAGGGAGTCTGAAACCAAACAGGCACATTAACAGACTCACAAGTTACATTTTGATACTGCTGTGATCTGTTCAAAAAGAATGACAAAAGCTCTTGCAAGGAATTTTATTGGGCATTCACCTTTTTCGAGAAAGTAGGGCCACGACCTAATGATTCTTCGACAGTCTTTATGATTAAATTCTGACAAAAATAAGCACTTGTTCTATATATCTATATATATAAATGCAGGGGTTTCATTATGGTAGAGTGCAGACCCTTTATTTTGATGTTTTACCATTGCCTCCTCTAACCTGATTTCTTTATTTTTTAGTTTACTTCAGTGCTTGCAAAAGTAATCTGAAAGTGCCAGTACATGTATCTTCAAATGATTTTTTTGAATTAATTTTCAGGTGTTGCATCTTTAACTGCAATGATCTGCTAGGCATTTAAAAAATGAACAAGAATGCTCTTACAGCAGCATTAAGTCTCGCTTGCATGGAGATTAAATCGAGAAACGAAGAGGGGATTAATTCTACACGGTACAGGATTTACTCGCTAAAGAATTGATTTAGTGCTCGTGTTAGCAATGACCGAACATACCCCTGCAATCGCAGGCTATACGAATGTATGAATACATGAAAATTTAAGGGCCTTGATTCCAGAAAAATTACATCATTGCAAGAGATCAAAAAAGTGATTTACATGGCACATCATTTCAATCATTGCATGCTCATCACAAGACCCATTTACATACAATGAAAGTTTACAACACCCGACCATCGCAGTTTTGCTAATTAAGATTCCTCTTTTTGTTTACCACTGTAGTGTTCACTTGTTCTAAAGTAATCAATGCTTTCATGTGATAGAATTTGTGGACCGACTTGTTGAGGAAAAGCTCTAAATTTAATCTTTCCAAAGCTTTCTTCGCAAAACATGCAAGGCTCCAGTCATGCAATGATTCTTATTCCCAGATTCCATGCCTGGGACCACAACCGCCTTTTTATGTAGTAAATATGAAGGAAAAAAACGGCTTGCAGATTAGAGTCTCGCTGCTTACGCAAGCGAAACTAATAATATACATGACAATCAATTTGCATGGCAAGGGATATATACCTTGAAAATAAAAGCTGCACCATATCCATCAGGGTTTGTTCAGCAGAACGGCGAAGAAGTTCTACAGAACAACAAAATGTTATAATTAACTTAAATACATTGTAGAAGCCAAACCTCTAAAACTGTTTCTTTGAAGAAAAGAATTTACCAACGTTGATTATTATTTAATTTTAACTCACTAGTCTTAGTATACCGATTTACTTTTCAAGAATATGGCTGATGAACCTTTACATACCACTAAGTCTTGTTTCAAAACAAATCCTAAAACACGACTGCATGATTTCACAAACAGACTCATTTGTCATGTGGGCGCCTACAGGTGTCAACAATAGAGTACGGAGAACCTATTGAACATACAGACAAGTAAATTAGAAGCTTTTAATACTGTAATTATACAGTAGTTTGAGCATATGATACTTATGTAAGCTAATACACTGTATCGTGACATGAGTCATTGCCACAGTCCGTCTGTGAGCTGGTGCCTAGATCCTTGTTATGGGCCCTCTGCTGTGTACCAGGATTAGAGTGTGTGCCATGATTGGTCTGTTAAAAATGCCATTGTATATTTGCCGATCATTTTGAGGGAAATTCCAAACACATTTCAAAAATTCCATTGAGTCCATTGCGAAACAGAACAAGGATCTACACTGTATGCACTACTTTGCAGACATTACAAGTCAGGGTTAAATTAAATCTGCAACACAGGCTAATGCAGCATGTATCCTGTATGCTACCACATTCAGTACAATGATGAAAGAAACATCTCTTCAGTAAACCAAGAACTACATTTGCATTTTTTGTGGCCCCATTTCGGAAGATTCAAGACATATAAAACTAAAGGGTATTTAAATGTTGATAGTGTCTTGAAGTCTTAAGATACAGTTTTTGTTCAACATATGATAACGTACCTGAAGAATTTTCATAAGCACTACTTCATCACTACTTGGGTCCGTTCCAACAAATCTGGCATGTGTAACTGCATCTGCAAGATTCTCAATGCCAGAAGCAGCACTTTCACAGGTTGGATCTGTTAAGAAAATTAACAGGACACAATAACATGAAAATTGGTATTATGTTACGTACATGTACTACTAAACAAGTTGAATGCAAAACAAAATTGGAACATTATGCGGATTTCTAGCAGGTCACTGTAATAATACATGTATGTTATATTGTTCAGTGAAATAGAACCCTGGAGTAGATTTCCACAGAATTGATAATGCATGCCACAAGAAATCCTCTCAATCCCTTCCACCCCCTCCCCCTCACCCTCCCCTCCCCCTCACCCTCCCCTACCAGATCTAGTACTAACACACGGTTTAGTACTACACATACCAATAAGGCCATAAGATAGAAACTTGTTGACAGATGACAGTGCCACCCCTGTGATGGGTCCTGTGGTATCCTCTGATCTGATCACATCAAGAAACGGCCCCAAGAATGTATTAACATCTATTTCACTTAAATCTGCCAACAGAATAAAATAGGAGTCAGTTTCACACCACAGCAAGGAAAGTTTAGTTAGCAAGAGTAGCCTTTTTTATCGTTACAATCATGAAGCATGCAGCTATTTTTTCAGTTTTGGAAGTGCTGGGCGTGTTTTGGCCTCAAACTGTTGCCAAAGAAATTAAAAGAGAGATTCTTCTTAAAGCTGAAATCTACATATAAATGAAACATTCCCCGTGTACAGTATCTCCTACACGTATTTCTGTGAAAGCAACGACAGGACAGGTTTGGAGACCACGTTGGTTTGTTCCTAGCAAAAGCACTTCATAATCAAGTCCAAAGTATACACTGTTTTTAAAACAAACTAATTTTCAATAGTTTGATGCATATGAAGACAGTTTTTCTAGATAAAGCTGTAGTGATAAATGTACAGCCCGGGAGAAAAGGTGTAAAAGTTATATCAGCCATGTTACAGACAGCAGGTGTTGTTGATTATGATGTCTTGGCTTAAGAGAGAATCACAGTACAAAAATTATTTTTACAACCATACAAAACAGGGCTTGTGTTTACAGTGTTCTAGAACTACTACTATTAAATCAGCAAACAAACTTCCCCATGAGAGAGTAAATTTTCATTTAACTGGAAGAAACAAAAATTATCCATGGTAAAAAAGAACAAGCAGAAATACACAAGCAGGTGGCGAAATTTTACAGAAAATAAATGTCTGAAAAACAGTGTGAGTCTCGTCTTCTACTCTAGTAATGACATTATCAGAACTACACAAGACCTAATATAATACACTGTATGCAATGCCAGATTTATAAAAACTATTTGTTCATTTTCTTCAACTACGGTGTTTCATATGAGTTATTTTAGCATTCCATTCTTTCTTGAATGTGGCAACAGAAAAAGCAAAATCAATTTAATTACCAGCAACCAAAAAACAGTTTAAGTACTGTAAAGTAAATAAGCTATATATGGAGGAAAATTTCTCCTCAACCAAATAATAAAATAATGTAATCATGAGAGACAATACAGTGTACATACTTGGACGAACTTGGAGCTTTGCGGTTGTTAAACATGCAAAATCTAACATTTTTAAAAGTCTAATCCCTCTGGTTGAAAGGACATAATTGCATGTTATTCCAAAGTGACAAGAAGCAAGTCATAAATTATTTAATATTTAAATCAAGAGATCAAAGTTTATTGCAAAACAAAAGCTAAGTACCACTGTACCACCTGCATACATGTGGATGCAAAAAGCAATGGGATAAAAAAGGAAAAAAAAGAATAAAAATATTAAGACTAGAAACTCTGAATATCAAAACTCGATAATCAAAAAATAAATTCTCCACTTAATTTGGTTATTTGAATAATACTCCCAGATAGTGCTCCAGTCTCCAGTACATGTCTCTACATCTCGAGGATAAAATAACTTTTGAAGTTTTTAATTTCTGTGCTTTAAGTTGGGATTTAGCCCAAACTTCTCCAAAAATCCAAAACAATCTCTATCATATAAGGACTGTCTTTGTACTAGTGTGACAGTGTAGTTATGTTGTGTGTTGTGTGTGTTTTCGCTATCTTAATTAAACCCTGCTTGTAAATTATGTACACAACGTTTAATTGTGAGAAATATTGAAATAAATATTGGCTGAATTGTAGAAAAATTTATGGTTCTTTTAGTGGCAGCATTATTGCACATATTCATGACAAAGATTATTTTTGTCTTAACAGTCATGGATGTGACTGTTAAAAGTCTGTTCTTCACATAAGGCTGATAATAACGTCCTGATCCACAAGGTACCCACTTTATGATTTTGGGACTACAGCTGTAGGTTGATTTCTGTATGGGTGGGCTCGGTTGATATTTGAGAAAGGGGGAGTTCCAAAATAGGCTCCTTAGATTTATTTTGTAAAATCTCTCTTATTTTAACAGACTGTTGAACATTTTTTCATGACTCACTTTACATGAGAAACAATCTTAAGACGTTATGTCTTACAATTTGTAATAATGACAACCAATAGCATCACTACTTAATTTGATCAGTCAGCTGAGGTCAAAATCAGATTTTAGTACCACAAACTGATGATACACAAATCAAAAACTGACTCTGAAGATGACTAGACAAGCTGTTGAAGGATCAGTTGCTGTTAACAACAGTAATTCAGGACTACACTCACCCACACAGTGATATTCCACCAGCCTACATTTGTGCAGTGCACACAAATAACTGCTGGGTTCAATTTAGTATATTACAGGACTTCTTCATAATTAGAAACTGTTGGAGATTTACCAATATAAGAAGCCACAAATTTAAATGACAGGTTACTCTTTAAAAACTTATTAGAGCATTACCATCTGTTTCTTCAATAACACTTACAAAAAAAATTATAAATCTATTGATGTTGAAAGGCTGTGCTCTAAGAAAAATTGAAGGGAGCAAAAGCTGGGTCCAGGGGCGACCAGGCACTGCGAGAGCAGCATTGTGTGTTGTCATTTGATCTGCCTTATAATACACTTAGGTACATGTTCTGGTAAAATCTGTTCTTAGCTCATAAGATGGAATCCATCAGGAAATTAAGTAATTTTAATTTTCAGAGAACAAAAACCTTGTACCAGAATAATTTACACCTTATTGCATTCTTTTAAATACATTTTTCAAGTGCTATAGATGTAATTAGTTATGTGTAATGACACCAAAGAAATTTTCTTATGGGAGCCCGAGAAAATAAAATTTAATGTCAAATTTCACAAGAATTGTGAAAAAACAGGAAAAGTTCTAAAAATTTCGTGTGCAAGACGTCATTTTGTGAAGTTTGATATTTATTTTCTCGCGCTTGATAAGAAATTTTCTCTGGTGTTATTACACATAACTAATTACATCTATAGCCCTTGAAAAATGTACAAAAGAATGCAATATGCTTTAAATTATTCTGGTACAAGGTTTTTGTCCACTGAAAATTAAAATTACTCAAGGAGGATGGATTTTACCTAAGATAACTCACCAGAAACAGTGACAAGTTGGTCTTTGAGCTGAGAAAACCCATGCAACAAGGGATCTTGTTCTTCATCCTAAATGCAAATTAAAGAAACAACAGATTAACCTGATAAAGTGATAAGCAACCAACATGCTGTTGTTGTGGACTATACTTTTTTGTGTTTTCTTCTGTGGTGTTGAAGTTTTCCTCCTGGCCCGAGTTGACTGTTCAAAAGGTGGATAGTGCTATTCGATGGATAAATCTCTATCCAGTGGATAAAGCAATAATTGGTTTCCCAAACACTTATCCAACGTTCCAACAACCAGGGCCTGAAGTATCTACAACTCTCAACAAAACTGAAGTGAAAGAAACCCCTCAAAAGAAGATGCTAGAGTGCAGGACAAGAAGACTGGAGATCATCTCAGGTTACACTGGTATTAACCTAGTTTTATTCAAAATTTTCCATGTTATTCATAGCAGATAAAGAGAAATTCTGGTTTAACCTGAGAACAAATTTTACCTACAAACTCTATTATGCTGGTATGCATATGATGTCACAAGTGCTAATGTTAGCAGTCAAGAACTATAATATTTCTCTGCTACAAAGAAAGCTCTATTTTTTTTATGATGGATTGACTACCAATATGGCTGCATTGTCACATAAATGAAAAGCAATAAATTATGTAATGTGAATGACTACCAACCTGGATGCCATGTCACTTCAGCAGAAAGCAATCAAAATTAGCTAATATCCTAACATGTACTGCTACAATTACCCATTTTTGATTATTAAAGTTTACTGAGTTTTGAGGATAACAAGTTATGTACAATCCTCATGGTTTCACACTTACAGTTCCATGACGGTGCTTGAAGATCATTATGCTCTTCTAAGATCAATTTAATTTTAATACACAATATCAATAACGTCAGTTCTAACTATTAAATTATCCCATGCACACAGCACCGGTCAAATGCGGAAGATCCGAAAATGCAAATTAAAATAAAATGCTTAAATATTAGCTTTTTGTAAAGGCTTGGACTCCATAAAAAATACGGAACACATTCTCATCGACAAGCAAAAATTTATTACACCGGTCGTCCACCTAAGCCCGATTCAGCTCGCTCCATGCCACGATATTGTCAGAAATTTTAATACACAGCAATGTTTGCCTTCAATTGGTAAATTTGTTCCTAGAGTATTATTTTATAGTTCGTTGGTTTTACCTGATGGCTATGGGAACCTCCTCGAGTGTTTCTTCGTAAAGCTGCCACGACGAGAGACATCTCGCCTTGAACGATGTAGACGCCATTTCTGGGGGTCATGGGACCTTGTTCTTCGCCTTTAAACATGAAGATTCCAAACTCGATGGTCGAGTTTTTTTGCTGGTTAGGTGCTACAGATGTTAATGTTTTATCCTGAACCTTAGAAACATCCTGATCGCAAGGGAAGTAAGTAAATATTAAATAAATCAAGATCCGGTCATTTCTTACAAAATTTTAAAGGAGGACATTTTGGATGTAGATCCGCTGACGTCACGGGGTTACACGCAGGCGCTAAAGGAGAGAAACCTGGACCGAGGCAGTTCCAGTCTATACCGCGCCCAACGAAGATTAAGCCTGTTGAAAAATTACCTAAAGTAACCGAAAGTTAGTCTGGAAGAACGGGATAAGTATGGAGGGAAAAAACACCGCAATTTCCAAACATCTAGAGGCCTACCCTTATCAGATAGCCGGCCATTTAACTCAAGGTTAGTTTTTCGGAACTTACAGGAAATTTGTACGGCGAAAATCACTGATTTCATTGTTACAACAGATATCGTGTCCACCTTGTTCTTTCCAAGTTGTCAGAATATATTATCATGATATAATATTACCTGGCGGGTATCTTGGCAAACTGCATGAATATTCATTTCAGTAACATTAATTATTTTCTATCCCTCCTTACAATCTGTACGTGGGCAGTGTTTTTGATGTATCTTCCACGTTGTTGTTTCCATGGTCAGCAAAAACTGTCACATCAATTTTTTTTCTGTACAATTTTCATTTGCAAGATTTTATTTTTTGGGGAGCAAGTTTGGTGCGGTGGTGAGAGCACTCGCCTCCCACCAATGTGAGCCAGGTTCAAATCCTGGCATTTACGTTGTACATGGATGATGACTTTGTTGTTGGTTTTCTCCGATCCCTTTTTCTGAGAGGTTTTTCTCCGCGTATTCTGACTGGTATTCCCCTCTTCTCAAAAACCAACACTTCCAAATTTCAATTCGATCTGGAACACACGGACACTTTTAAACGAGTGCTTTAAAACTCCTTAGTGCTTTATGGTAAACAAATTTTGCATGCTTCTCTTTTACACTTGATTTCTCTCTATCTTATAAGCAGCATTATTGTGGGCCAGTCAGAATAATAATACTGTTATTACAAAAAACGACTTATACAATTGATGTTTTTTTTTTTTAATTTTAAAGAAAACAATGTCTGTGGTTAGAAAATTGTTTTGGAAATTCAATCTTATCATAATTGGTCTTTTTGTGCATAAATAGCAACTTAAGGTTACCAGATATGTAAAAATCTTAGTGAATTGTAACATAATTTGACATTATATCTGTTAGAACCACTTAAGGTGACTGTAGATGGCTGTGTACTGAAGCAAGTACAAAGGCCTCCAAAGGGGGAGAGAGAAGTTGTCTTCTATGCAACTGTATTTGACAAAAAAGAAGAAAGAGAAGAAATACTGCAACTGAGAAGATTTCTGCCCGTCTATCATGGAATTGTGGAATTGGGTATCCTAAGCATGTACTGCGGTTGTGGAGGTTTTAGGGTCCCTTCCCCTTTCCTGTCAACCTCATTCCCAGGATCTCCCTTCTTCCTGTCAACCTCATTCCCAGGGTCTCCCTCCTTCCTGTCAACCTCATTCCCAGGATCTCCCTTCTTCCTGTCAACTTCATTCCCAGGGTCTCCCTCCTTCCTGTCCACCCAGTTCCTAGGGCCCCCTTCCTTTCTGTCAATCTCATTGTATTCTCAAGGTGTCTCCTTCCAGGCAGCCTTAAGTTCCCTTACAGTATCTCGATCTCTTGTCAAACCTCACCCCTAGAGTCTCTCTTCTTCCTTGCCTTTAACCTCATTTCCCAGGGTTTCTTTACTTTGATCTCTATCAAACATAATATTTTTATAACTGCAAGCTCATTGGTTAAGCTAAGAGCTATTTCCTATTTCATAAATTGAGTTCAATTTCCTATTGTTTTAACTCTTGTGACGTCAAAATGTTTAGAAAAGTAGAACCAACAAATTTCAGAGTAAAAGACAAAGGAATTTCAAAATAATTTATTAGTGTCACTATTTGGAATTATCTTTTTTAATGACATAACCAACCAGTGATCTCATGAAATCTACTTTATTGTCAAAAGGGTCTCAAATAATATTTATGAATCCTTAAGTGTGAAGCTTAGATTCCTCAAGGTATTTAAAACTTGAGAACATCACCACCAAGTTTCGCCTGCCATGTGTTATGGATATTAAGATTGGTAAGGTGACATGGGAAGATGATGTTGATGAATCATTTAAAGAAAGAAGAAAAAGAAAATGGCCCCTTAGAGAGATAGCTGGATTTAGCATCCTTGGTTTTATGGTATGTGCATAAAAACAGGCTTTAAAAGGAGAAGAGAGAATTCTCTTTGCGTGCCCAAATAACCACTTTAATGCATGCCACACAGGCTAATAAAAAATTCTGTGGCTAATTTTTGTTATGGTAAAAGAAGTTTTAAACTGTTTTTTTGGCTGTTTGTTTTTCCTTGGATTTATAAGTATCTGGTAAGCGAGGCATCAATTATATTTTGATTGACAACCCTTGGTAAGGTGAACACAGACCAAAGAAAAAAAGAATTTACACAAAAGATGTAATGCAAACCAACGTTATTTTTCTCAGGACAAGACAATAGTGTTTAGACTTAATAAATAAATGAATATTGATCATTAACATTCAGTGATTTTTTTAAAAATGAAAGCATAATTTACTCTGTTAAAGTCATACCTGGTAAACCGTCTGGAAAAAATGTCGCAACTAAGTTTGTGTTATTTTATACACCTAGAACTCTTCACACTGTTCAAGCTCATGTCTTATGAACTCAACAGGTTTATAACCATAAAACAAGCTGTTATGAACGTTTTATGCGTGAATACTGTATGAAACTGGCAACTATGGAAGATGCTGAAAGAAGTAAGTACACCTCTATTTTGATTGTAATGTTATTAATTCTAATAAAATTATGACATTTCCTACTTATAATAGCAAGTCTTGCAAAATTCTGGCCAGGTGAAACGTGGGGAAGTGGGGACTCACTCCCATGTGAACATATACTGTTATACATTAACACCATAATACTGTGTTGGAGAATGGTCTCCTTTAAGGTTCAAGTCGAGCTTGTGCTACACCCAGGTTAGTCTCCTTTTGGGTCTATTTATTTTCCAACAAGCAGCCGTGCCTCTTTTATATGGGAGCCCCCAACTTGACTATAATCAGAGAAGTTCCTATACACAAGAATGAAAAACTCGAGATGCCTACCATACACGAGTGTTGTACACTTCAGACAAATTAACGGATAACCATTTTAAACAGACACCTCATTATTACAAACAGTTTGCTTTGTTCCTGGGGAAAGAAAGCCCTTAAATTTTCTCCTCATTCAACCTGCTTAATACGGACATCCCATTAATAAGGACACTTTCTGTAGCCCCCTCAGTGTCCGTAATAACGGGGCGTGACTGTAGTAGGGAGTGTTTTCCTACCATTCTCACCCCTCCGACATTTTATGAAATTTGAGTGGAAACCAAAAATTTAACAAGCGATCACTTGTAACCGTGGTGAACAGTCACCCCTTTCCCATGATAGGCCCTTGCAAGTGTTGGTATGCAGGGCTGTCAATAAGGGCCGGTAGCCGGCCAAAACCGCCGGATAGTTAGCCATCCTTAGCCGGCTACTTTCATCTCTTTCTACCATAACCGCTAACAAAAAATAAGTACCATCGAATAATGATGATCAATGATATTGAACGTATATTGAACAAGCCTAGATCTGTGAAACGTTCGAACCATGCCATGTTGTGAAACGCCTGGGACACTTTGACGGCATCGTTCCAAGTCTTGCGTGTATTCTGACGAAGCAACATGGCGTCCGCGATGGAAAAATACCTCTTGAAAACCCCTGGAAATAGGGTTTCCGAGACTCTAAATTCCAAAATGTCCTTAGATATCTCGGTCCTCAAGAACTTGTGCCTTTGGTGCGAGTTCCAAAGCCACCTACTATTCGTTATCACCCTGCCACTTAAAAACTTTTTGACAGCCCTGGGTATGAAACAAGGGGACAAGGGTTTTATTTATGGTTGCTTCTAAGTTACTTGAAACTGTGGAGTGTGAAGACCTTACCAAGCAGCCTAGAGTATAAGCAGTCAGTCTTATTTCTTAGTCTGACAAGCAAAATGCACCCAACACAAAAATGACCATGCATGTGATGGAAGGCTCGAGACAGGAAAGGCACCTGCCCTCATTCCTTGCGTCTTTCATAAGTGTGTGCACTCCCCTTACTAAATCTGAAGAAAAAGCAGAGACTGCTCGCAGTTTATGTAAGAGCAGCCTGCTCTCCTGGCAGGTTTAATTCCAGGCACCTCAGCTCTTTAATCTAAATCTATATAATCTTCGCAGCCTTTTGCAAGTTTATGGGCAGTGTCAATACAGAATGGACTCTGCAGATACTGGAGCAACTCCTGAAAAAACTCACAGAGATTGAAGAGTGGTTCAAGACTCAAAGACTGTACAGATTTATTGCAAGTTCTATTCTGATATCATACGAAGCAGACTGCCATCAAAATGTTGTCGGTAACTTTACATCATCCAATGACAGAAGTTCATCTTTTGTCTGTCAAGACCAATCATTAACTGACACTGTGATTGATTCAAATGTTAGTCCACATTTGCCTTCCACAAGCCACCAACAGCTGTTGAACAGAACTTTGGTAGATGCAAGGATAATTGATACTGCTCATGTATTTACAACTTCAGACACTGACTTCAACTATTTGTTTGGCTTGGAAAATATTATCTTGACTGTTAACTGCGTACAGAAAAGTTTTAATTAAACATTTGGTTAAATCTTCTATGCCATGTGATCAAAGTTGCATGATTTTTGTGTTATTCTCTGGCCTGTTTGACTGGATCAAGCTAATTTGTTATAGTCGGAAAGATCACCCCCTGCATATAAGTTAGACATACATACACTGTTTACAGGTAGCCATTACGACACCTGAAGGAGGTTCACAAAGTTATCCCTATAATTAAAATCTCTCCTTACAGATAACCCACCAGCCCAGGAAACGTTGGCCACACAGCCAGGGTCTTTGTCTCCTACTCTTATCGAACAGTGGTGTGGGTTCTTTTACGTCCCACAAGAATCAGATAAGTGAAAGTGCTGTGAGATGGGACCTACGGTTTTTCATCCTTATCCAAGAAGACGAGAAAGTCTAACTGTTTGCAGATGTCATTACAAAGGCAGCACTTTTGTCTCAGTCATTTTAAGACCCCGAGGGTTGGTCTGGCCGGGGTTTGAACCTGCGATCTTCTGCTCGGCAGACTGAAATAATCCCAATTAAGCTAACCATACAGCGGTAAAAGACGTCTCTAACTAAGGGCGCTTTCCAATTGTCAGAACTGACCAGCCAGACCATTCCCGTCTTAATGAGAATTTCACTTTTAATCAAAACTATCCGGCCAGATCCTAAATAATATGCACGAAGGTCCGGCCAGCCAGTTCTGACAAAAGGAAAGGGCCCTAAGATTTTAAAGGAAGTACAAATGAGTAGCAAATAACATCAATCTCCCAGATAGTTATTAATTTTTGCAAGCATTTTCTGAGCTGTTTGACTCCATTGAGCACATTTTGGGCAATTGCAGCACCAGGCTCCTGGATGGGAAAAAAGCAATTTATGGCTTGAATCGCACAAAAATATCAGTTAACAAAGTGAGCCAAATTGGGGACTGGGTAGGGGGAATGGGTGGCACCAAGCCCTTCCCCTACTGTTTGCCTCTTTCCTCAAAACCTTGGGCTCAAAATGAAAAAACAAATGATAGCCTACCATACTTTTTTTTTAATTTTTGGCAAGCCTTACAAATTTTCACCTGTCATATTTTTTTCTGGCCTGCCACCTACAGTACTTCTGACATTTTTGTTATTGAAGAAATCATATTACGACTTGATTTTCGGTAGGAATTTCATTTGCTGACCAACAAGGTAAAGAAATCCATGAAATAAGGCAAAATGCTGTACACACTAAAATCTAGACTGCGAGCAGAATGCTACCTTTTCTTTTAAGACATTTTTGCAGAGCTCCTATGTCGCCCAGTATCCGGACACAACAATAACGTAATTGTACATACATTTCGACAGGCAAGCGACTAAGCTTCTCTTGCACTTGCAAAGTAGTGTGGCAATCGATTCCAAAAATATAACCTAGCATCGTGAAATAAAAAATAACAAAATTATGACTGGCGTATGGTGGGGAACGGGAGCGGTTGTTAAATGGTATAATTCTTACTTCCTTGTCTAAGAACTTTTTTAAGCTGCGGTTTGGAAGCAAAATTATTCAATCTGCGAACGACTATTTTTCTTCTTTTTTCATTAAAAAAGAAAGCTTGGGGAAGGGACCTTAATCCGACAGTCAAAGGTCACTCTCCTATTTAACCTGACCTGCACGTGCAGTGTTGATTTCTTCATGCTCAGTCGCTACAATAAGCCCGCTTTTCTAGCACTAATTCCTCCTTCTTTCACATCTCTCAATCCCTTTGTGACATTTTTCAGACCATTGCAACCCGGGGGGGGGGGGGGGGGCCTTGGGGGGGGGGGGGGCTCTGCATATGAAATGGGGTGGGATGCTCGTCGTCTCGCTTAGGGGTGTAAATTTCGGATTTTTGTCTCACTTAGGATATTCTAGACAAAACACCATCATGTTTAGCCATGAAGGTCTCGTTTAGGGTTGCACACAAAAAAAATTATTTGATATGTATATTATTTTCGTCCCTTTTAGGGGTCAAAAAAACGCTTGGGCCACGCCCAGATCGGTCTCCTTTAGGGGTTTCATTCAAAATTTCCGACGAGCATCCCCACCCCTTTCATATGCCGAGTCCCCCCGAGATTGCAACCCCATTCTAGCAGTCACAACGTGGGAAAGTACGAGAATTCCAGGTTCAACTCCGATGCTTATGGTTTTATATACAAAATGCAGTCACCCGAAACAAGCCGTGCACATGAAATCAAGTCGCCTCTGAATGAGTGAAGAAAATTTCCATACGCAGTTGAGTAGTCAATTACATTTTACCACTATATCATATATCCTAAGGTTTAATTA